TGTTACGAGGTGTGAATAGGAATCCACCCGAAGAACGAACGATGGATTCCTAGAAAGGAGACAAGATAACAGAAAACGTATAAAAGGAGCGAACCGTTTACCAAATGATATAGTAACCGGTCGCGCTCCAAATCGCACATCTCCGTTATTATAAATTGTAAAACTTAGAATTAATCAATAATAAACTTTGTAAATCATTTGTTAAAAGTATAATAAAATCTTATTTTTAAAAAAACAAATACAATCTTTCTAAAATCGAAAGTATAGTGGTCGGTTGGGTCGGTATTACAGATTTCATTGGAGAAAAATTGACTACTATATTAGTTCGGTCGGACTTTCTTAAAATCGTTTATTAACCGCTTAACGCCCGATTTTTTCAGTGTTTTATGGTAAAAAAAAATACAATTTTTTTTATTCCTGAAATTTGAAGAATATACTTTTTTAAACGCACTAAAATGAATTATAATGACGAAAACGTTTTATTATTTATGTATATTGTATTGACAAATATAAAAAATCAAACTTATTTTAATTACTACTATAACAATATAATTAAATACATATTTTCTAATAATTTTTTTCCGTATGATATACTTTGAAACAAGGAGCAGGACAAAGAGCAACGTCGCACTCGTTACAACAACATTTTGTTTCCTTTCTTAATTTTTTTCCCATCTTATCTTTTTTTGTGGAACATAACACACATCGTTTATATGGAATATTATTACTTTTTGTAGGGGGGTTGAAGTCAGGAAAATGTCTTTCCGTCAATCTTAGTGGCCCAGGTTTCTTTGGACGTCNGTAAAAGGATAGGGGGGAGGGGTGTCAACCAAAGGCTTGGGGGAAAAATAGGTTGGTAGCTAGATCTGGTGACTTATTAAAAAAGTAGCAGTCTACCTGGTTGGTAGTGGTTTAGTTCCACTAGGTGGCGCGTTACTTTTTTTAAAAGTCACCAGATCTGGTTACTTTACCACGTATGTTTTCCTTAATCGATAAGTGTTATGTAAATATAAATTGTCTGCAAATATTTATTTTCCATATAATGTACATAAAGCCGTGTGCAATGTACTACATATTTACTTTTAGCACCTTGTGCATAAAGTCGTGTGCAACATATTACTATATAAAGAGCAACTTAATTCAGAGCATTCAGTCTGCATTGACGCTCCATGTCAAACACATCGTGGTCAAATATATCATCAGTATCAAGTTCAATCGATTTCGAAGTTATCCAAGATGTCATCGCCCGTCAACTGCCACAACGAAGAATTCGACGAGAGTCAAACCCGGGAAGTGGACGGTCAAGTGTTGGAAGCGCCTTGTCATCTTGCGGCCGAGTCAGAGTCGGATTGCGAGATTGCCGAATTACTGCCCGAACCTCCGAGGAAGAAGCGTCGTCAAATAGCTCCACAAATGGTAGAAATTCCAGACGATTTCTTCGTAGAAGTTATGACTATCCGTGCTCTACTAGAGGAAGTATGGTTGGATCACAATACGCCACAGAAGATGTTAACGTTTCTGATGCAAGCAAGTACGGTAGCAGAGTTCAAGAAGTGGAAAAAGGAAAGCCAATTATGCAAGAAAATTTGGCTAGCTATTTCGAAGAAATGGGAAAGCGACAAGGCACGAAACTCAGCGATTTTATCAACTTCCTTTTTGACACAACTGTCCAAAACTATATTCTCCATGACATCGTTAGACCTACTTTCGATGAAAGCTCCCGACACATTATTACGGGATTACCGAAGATTAAATTCAGAAATGAAATCTTCATCGTTGCCAGCCACAACTCGCACTACCACATCATTCACTCGTGTCCCTACATTACTAAAAGATGTAGATGCGCACGAATCGCAACCGTCGACGAGTTCCGCAGGAAGAGCGCTCGCAGGGTTATTTCGGCGTCCAACGTCACTAGATACTTCCTCCAAAATTCAGCAATATATTTATGCTCGGGAGGACGGCAGATTATATTCTTTCAAATCGCCGGGCGAGAAGGACGGAGAGTATGTGGTACAGTTGAAGATTTATCCGATCGAGCCTTGCTTACGTCAGGATCCGAAGAACTGGTGGAAAACGGCGACGATCCGGACTCAATTTTTGATACCTTCTACCGGACATGTGATGTACGAACAACTCCTGGAATTAATAGAGAGCGTCCAGAAAGAACTGGAGAAAGTTCAAGGAATGGACAACCACGAGACCCAGGAGTCCTTTTATTCTTAAAGGCTCATCCATTTTCACCTGTTCAGTTAGTTTTAGATTCCAAAGTTTGGATGGAGTCTAAATATCGTTTTATCATAGACAGACGTAAGTTAGATCCCTTTTTCAATGTTTTCAATTATATGTTTATTAAAATGTCTACACAAGAAATATTTGAATATGTCAAAGATATCGAATGCAGTTATGGTTGTACTTTAACAGACCCTTTCGATTATTATTATTCAATAGATGAAAGTGTTAATATTTTAAATGAATTATTATTATATCAAATGGGTAAAGATGTCGAAATTGTTAAGCAATTTCTTTTGGAATTATACGACGTTCTTGAACGACGTGTTCCAAAAATTAATTGTTTTGCAATTTTTTCTCCTCCTAGTGCAGGCAAGAATTATTTTATTGATGCGGTTTTATGTTATTACTTTAATTTTGGTCAAATACATGACTTTAATAAACAATGTAATTTTCCTCTACAAGATTGTGTTAATAGACGTGTTCTTTACTGGAACGAACCGAATTTTGAACCTGCCGCCACAGAAACTTTAAAAATGTTATTAGGAGGTGATAACTGTCCTGCGAGAATCAAATATTTATCAGATAAAGTTATAACACGTACACCAGTGATTATTACAGGCAACTATGATTGTTTTCCTCGTGATAGTGCATTTGATCATCGCATGAAACGTTATCATTGGAGAGAAGCTCCATATTTAAAGGATTTAAGAAAAAAACCATATCCAATGTCTTTTTATCATTTATTAACCCTTAGTGTGCACACGGGGTCATTTTGACCCTAAAAATTTATTTCAACTTATATAGCCTTAAACGGGATTGGCTCATTGAATTGTATTCCTAACGAAAGTATAGGCTCATCTCCTTCCCAAAAGCAGGTAACATCGTCACTTGAGAAATTTTCTCAGTATACTCCAAAGCAGATGTGCGCGCGATAGGCAGGGTCAGATTGACCCCGGTGTGCACGATTCGAGTGTTTAAGTGTTTCGGCGATCAAGTACAATCTTGTTACTGAGCATTACAGGTAAGTGACCGTCAATGTAAAATGGGGAATATGTTTTTTTATTTTTTCTTTTAATATATTTTAAATGTTTTTATTTTTGTGTTCTGCACGTAGAATGTCGTATAATCTACGGCCGCGGAGTGTTGGAGAAGCTTTAGAACAGGAGGAGCCTGAAATCGTCGATTTTGGAGGTGAATCGAGTAATGACGAATCTGATAATGTTGAACAAATGTCGAATGATGACACAGATGAGGCAAGCGACCTTGGTGAAATAGAAGCCGAGGTTGAAAATCCGTCGAAACAAAGTCGCGCCTCGCTGTCACGTGCGAGAGGAAGACCAATAACTACAATGAAGGGAAAAAATGGATATACCTGGTCTGTGAAACCGGTCGAAAGAAACTCAAGTAAGAAATTTACCGTTTACTCTGCGCACTACCTAGTGTTATTTCCATATTTTTTTTGTTTTTTAGATCGACGTTCATCGACGAGGATTTACATACCAGGACCAGCGAATGACGCTCTGCAATGTGAGGAAATCGTTCAATTCTGGGAGGTATTATTCACAACGGAAATGCGCGAATTGATCGTGAAATATACAAACATAAAAATTGATTCAACCAGACGTGAAATTACTGACAAAGGTGGCATCCTCCAAACTTATCATCATACAACTGATTTGATTGAAATAAACGGTTTCATCGGATTGCTCTATTATGCTGGCATTTGGAGAGTCAATCATATCGGCGTCAAGGAGTTATGGTCCAACACCGAAGGTTACAACATGTATCGAGCTACCATGCCTGGCAGACGGTTTATTTTCCTTTCACAGTCGATACGGTTCGATGATAAAACAAGGAGGCCACAAAATAATAAGTTCGCCTGTATTGAAGAGTTATGGAATATGTTTATTGAGAAATGTAAATGGAATTATAAACCTCACAATTTCTGCACCGTGGATGAGCAGCTATTATCATTTCGAGGGAGATGTGGATTTCGCGTTTATATAAAAAGTAAACCGGATCGATATGGCCTCAAACTTGTTACTTTGAACGACGCGAAAACTTTTTACATGATCAATGCTGTTCCCTATACGGGCAAAGTACACATCGAGAAAGGATTGTCTGTTTCTGAAGATGTATTTTTTAAAGTTACGGCTCCTATTCATGGAACTGAGCGTAGTGTGACCTGTGATAATTGGTTTACTTCGATCCCATTAATTGAGAAAGCCTTCAAAGATCCCTATAAAATGAAAATAACAGGCACAATTAGAAGTAATAAACGCGAGATCCCGTTGGAAATGAAGATAGCAGGAGATGCGGAAACTGGAAAATACGGTTTTCACGAGAATATCACCTTACTATCTTGGACACCACGGAAGAATAAAATTGTTTTAGTGGCATCCTCATATGTTACATCGACGGAAAATGAAGCGGAATCGCATAAACCTCTCATCATAAGCCACTACAACACTACGAAAGGTGGCACTGATGTTTTCGACAAATTGTGTCACTCGTACACCGTCTCTCGTGGTACAAAACGATGGCCATTGCGATTTTTCTTTGGAATGTTAGATCAGGCGGCTGTCAATAGTAGAATACTCCATACCTGCCATAAAATGAACGATTCGGAGAAGGCGAACGAAAGGCTTTCTGGAAGGGAAAGCCAAAAACAGATTGCCTTCTACCTGTTGAAACCGCAGCTCCAACGCCGACTTGAAACACCGTCGTTGAGGGTAGGGATACGAAAAAGTATCGAATCCATTTTGTCTATCGATTCAACACCAACTCAAGAACATCGATCTACGTTTGAGAAACGAGTTCGATGTGCATTGTGCGATCGCAAAAAAGACCACAAAACTAAGGCAAAGTGCCCATCTTGCAGCCGAGCGATGTGTGACGATCACAGAGCCTACTTATGTATAGACTGTGCTGGTGTACAGTCTATACATAAAAACAGCAGTATATTTTAGTTTAATCGTTTTTGTGAATTAAAAAANTACAGTATAAAAATTAAAGCGATTTTTAGTAGGTAACTCCAACCGGGAGATGGCGTTACAAGTCCCATTTGCTGTAGTGCGCATGCGCGTCTTCACGTCAACAGACAAGCAACAACAAACTTAACAAACATTCTCCATTACTGTTTTGGTGCGAATTGCGATCGGTACGTAGTTATCTCGTTGTTAATACCTTTTGTTGTACTTTTTACGGACGTTTAGTGTTTAGTGTTATATTTTGGTTTACCTAATTTTTATTTTAAACATACTATTTTAGAAAGGTAATAAATAATGATATGATAAGTTAACAATGATTTCAATAACATTTAAGCTTTTACTTTCGATTAGATTATTATATATTTATATATAATGGGAGGAGGATATTAGACATTATTGGGACGGTGTGTGACCAAGGAGCAGCTAATCAGGGTACTATGAAAATTTTGATATCTTCGTCACCAACTGAGTATGCAGCATGCACATTTACAGTGAATAATAAAAGTAGGATTGTGCTCTATGATCCACCACACTTACTCAAAGGTATTAGAAACCAATTGTTAAAAAAAAAACTTAATATGGGAGACAGACAATGAAAAATTAACAGCATCATGGAGCCATATAAAAAATGCCTACTACATTGATGTATGTAGTGGGGACCTCCGAGCTCTCCGCAAAATCACGGAAGAGCACATCACGGAGGAAAAGATGAAGAAGATGAAGGTGGCCCATTGCGCTCAAGTACTTAGCCATACAATGGCAGCTACTATCTCCATGATGGCGCGAAATAGTAAGTTAATACTATAAATAAATTATTTACTATACATTACACTGTATTTTTTTACCAACTTGCAGATGAAATAAGTAGCGATGGTACCGTAACAATGCCAAAAGAGGCCATCGCTACCGATAAAATTCTAAAATTTTTCGATAATCTGTTTGATTCTGTTAATGGGTCCCTAAGAATAAACTCAGAAGGGAAACCACTTAAAATGGTGGCAAAATCAACAAGCGACCACCGCAACTTTTGGATTGGTATATTAAAATGAAAATTGTAATATCAAACTTGATAAATTTTTTTTTAGACAGTATAAAACACCTGGGGAACATGTGGTTTGAAGACCACATTAAAAAAACCAGATCAATACCGCCCTCATTGAAGAACTGGGTTACTACATTGAAGGGAATGTTATCAATATTATGTTATGTGGAGAGGAAGAAATTGCCCTTTTTTATTCCACGGCAAATAAACCAGGATCCCTTAGAAAATATGTTTGGGCAAATAAGACAAATGAGAGGTCGAAACATTAATCCCACCTGCCAAGGGTTTGGAGACGCATTTAAATCACTTCTTGTGAGAAAAATGTTGTCTCCTCATTTGGCAGGTGGAAATTGCGAAGAAGATAATTCAAAAAATTTGTTAAAGCCAACGGTTTTTTTAAATAAATGCAGGGGGAGTGATGTTTTTGAGGAAGAAGAATTTGAGTTACCTCCCCTGACTACAAAATTGAATCATTCATATCAAGCAAGTATATTTTCATATGTTGCAGGTTATGTGGCACGTAAAGCATTAAGAAAGAACCAATGTGAATTCTGCATTACCCATATTGTAAATAAAAGTCCTAATAGAAACAGTATAGAAAATAAATTTTTAGTAGCCAAAGAATATGGTTCTGCGAAGTTGGTGTTTTGTAAACCAACACTTTTAAATAGTTTAAAAAAATGTTTCGACATAATATATAGTGTTCTAGAACACAATTTTCAACGGAATTATTTATTATTGTACATAAAAGAACTAATTAAAAGAAATGTCACGTTCACATTTTTGTGTCACAAAGATGATATTATAGAGTATATTTTAAATATTTTTATCAAACTAATATTATTTAATTTTTTAAAAAAAATTAATCATATTTTAAAAGGTAAACAAACTCTTGTACCTAAGGTACTTTTTTATCCTATTTAGAAGGAAATAAAATAAAAAGTAGGCGTTGTCATCAGTGTTGTAACATGGTTGATGGTTACAGTAACCGTCACATGGTTGAAATATCCACGTGCGTTTTTTCGTTTTAAATTCGTTGTTTATATAATTAATTGTGTACGAAATGTCTCCTCGAAGAATCTGCCGTGATTCAAAAGGCAACAGAGATAATAAACCGCGGCCGATTAGCGTGAAACGTAAATCTCGTCCGCTGAATCGACATGAAATGGAACAGGAGACCGCGAGCACGAGTAAATCGACAAAGAAACTAAAAATGAATGAAAAAATTGACATTGCAGTAAACGCGAGTTTCGGATACCGATTGATTAATTTTGTTTCGGTTTTTAATGCACTCAGTGACTTAGTGAAGTGTAAAAAATGTGACGGTGAAGTTACATTTTTGGAAGGCAGTATTCGAGGTCTTGGATTTAAGTTGATTGTGAAATGCAAGTCTTGTGAGCCATCTGGTATAGATTCCTGCCCGTTAATAAATTCAAAGGCATATGAAATCAATCGCAGAATCACATTTGTATTTCGATTATTAGGAATGGGTTATGCTGCATTAGAAAAATTTTGCGGATTGATGGATTTACAAAGGAGTTTTACTGAAAAATTCTATAATGACATTAGCACCCACATTTTTGTGGCAGCTGAATCCATTGCAGAGAAATCCATGCAAAACGCAGTGAAACTTGAAAAAGAGGCAACAGAAAAAGGTGGTTTAACAGTTTCTGGAGACGGGACATGGCATCGACGTGGATTTTCATCACTTTTTGGGCTATCAACGTTAATCGGATACTATACCGGAAAAGTGGTGGATATACTAGTAAAATCATCATATTGCAAACAGTGTGAAACGTGGGAAAAGGTTTCTGCGACCCCAGAGTATGCGCTTTGGAAGGAAGATCACATGGACAGATGTCAAAGCAATCACGAAGGCTCGGCAGGAAAAATGGAGGTTAGTGCGATTCAAGAGATGTTTCAACGATCCGAGGAAAAATATGACGTACAATATCACAATTATATTGGTGACGGTGATAGCAAGACCTTTAAAGCTATATTAGATTGTCATCCGTATGAGAATGCTACAGTCATGAAAAAAGAATGCATTGGTCACATTCAAAAACGAATGGGAACCCGTTTGCGAAATTTAAAAAAGAAAACTAAAGGTCTTGGGGGCAAAGGGAAATTGACGGACAAATTGATAAATGAGTTGACAATTTATTATGGATTGGCCATTAGACGAAACACAAACAGCTGGGAAAAAATGAAAGACGCTACTTGGGCTACATTTTATCATAAAATTTCCACGAACGAACATCCACAACATCATCTTTGTGATTCGTCTTGGTGTTCTTGGTTACAGGCGAAAGAGAAAAATGAACTAAATAATTACAAACATCCAAACCCTTTACCTCAAAATGTGCAAGACGCAATTCAACCAATTTATGTTGACCTTACTGCCGAAGATTTGCTGAAAAGATGCGAAGGAGGCTTTACCCAGAACTGCAATGAAAGTTTAAACGCGCTCATTTGGTCAATCGCTCCGAAGACGAAGTTCTGTGGTAAGCATACGATTGATTTTGCTGCTAATACAGCTACCAGTATGTTTAACGATGTATACGACAGTATTCTTCTAATGATGCAATGCATGAATTTTGTTATTGGGACAAACTGCTTCAACCTGTGCAAAAGTTTGGACGAGAAAAGGCTGAAATAAAAAATTACGCCAGCACTAAGGAAGCGCGACAGAAGCTATTGGCAGCCAAAAAAGCTAACGAAGACAGCTTCCATGAAGTCGAAGGAGAGTTGTATGGTGCTGGGATAGCTGATTAATTAAATGGTAAAGATTTTAATCATTATTTATCAATTATACGACTTTAAACATAACTTTAAACTTTAAAGTCGTTTTTTTCAAAACAACATTTTTTCACCTGGTAGACACCAAATCGCTAAATCTAATCAGCCAATTTACTTATTTTTTTTTTGTTATACGTAACAATAGTGTATCTTCAAGGTAGCGTAGGATTTTTTTGATATTTTGATTACCCGATTTTTGGCGCTCAATTTAAATCAACTTTTTATAGCAAAAAATGAAATAATTTTTTCGTAATGCCGCCATTTTCTGAATTTTTCGAATTTCAAAAAAATCCTACGCTACTTTGTACCTATAAGCCTACAGATTAAGGCACTTTAACTTATATTGTTTAATCTTGTTTCAGTTTTGCCCGGCGGTGTCTACCAGCGAAGAGTAACAACGTCGCAATGCTCCGCTTAATCACTGATTATTAATTGTAATTCCATTATTTTATGATTAAAAAATTACTTTTTTTATAGTTTAAATATAACTCTACAACGTACAAAAAAAATTGTTTTAGTTTCGTTCATATTTGGGGGAGAAAAAAATTCGTAAACTTTGCTTGTTTTTAGAGCGCTCAAGGTACGGTCCCCCCATAAATCAATATTTAATAGTACGATTTCTTAATTGTTTTTCTTGCATATGCGAAGAACTTGTTACGTTATTTTTTGTTTCTTTACTTAATCCAGTTTTCATATACCATCCTCCCCATGCTTCATCCTTAGCTCAACCATCTGTATGACCAAATTGAATAGGTACGTGACTTGCATCATATACATTGCCTTTGGCTTGCCATGGAGAGCTAAAATCACATGACACTGTCATTTCTGTAGTAACACTAAAATATAGCGATGTATTCTGAATGTCTTGTGTTTCTGTTCCTGGATTTAAACTTGGAGTTGGTAAAATACCGATATAGCATTTTGGTATTACATGAGGCATATTTGACGTTGTCGTTCCCGATTGCTCTATATATAAATTTTCGATTAAAGAGTTCCAATTGTGTTCGTTATAACCAAGTTTACAGGCTTGTGTTTGAAGAGCTATACTACCGACATTTTCAGGATCTGCTGTTAATGTTTGTGGTGACAACATTGTTGGTCTTGTCATAGATATGGTTGCACCTTTTTTTCCTTGTGGTAAATAAATGTCTTTTGGTTTACCAATATATCCTCTTTTAGGTGAATATGACCATGATATAATAGGTTGTCCAATAACACTATGTAATAAATGGCGATCGCAATATTGTATCATATTAGGGAAACCAGCAGTATTTAATGTATTATTAATATTACCAATTATTGAAAAGTAACATGGAGCTGAACGAGGTAATCCTAAGGACATATTCATAGAATTATCTTTAAAGTTAGCTGCTCCATATAATTTTTCGACCACGTTTCCTGATGTTATTTGTGTAATACCAGTAGGTATCATTGGTTTAGAACCGTTTACGTTGTATGAACTAGATGAAAATGCCATTACTTTAGTATTCATACCAACATTCGTCATAATAATAGGAACATGTTCTGTATTAGCGGTTCCAGTTAATGTGGTACCATGGTCAAATGCCGTTCGTACGCCAAGAGGGGTAACATTACATTTAACATTTACTATTTTTGAACCATTAGGAATACTATCATATTCTCCTTTATTAATATAAAATGCAATTAAATCACATGGAATAGTTGCAAGGGAGGTACTTTGAAATTGAAAGCCATTGTTAGAATCATCAGGTTTAAAGTTGTCGCCTTAGTTAGTACTTTTTGAAGTTTTTCAGTACTTTTTGCTCTAATATTTAGTACCGAATGAAGTTAGGTGGCTGGCAACACTGGTTATACCACAGAGATATACTTTCAACAAGTATCAGTGTTTTGTTCGACAGATTCAACCATCATTATTTTCTTTTCTGTTGTGTTTAACAGGTTTAATTTTTTGATAATGTGTTCGACTCAGTGAATGGAACCTTAAAAACTAATAAAGAAGGCAAACCGCTCAAGATGGTTCCGTCCAAATCGAGTGAACACCGAAACTTTTGGAGATGTATGGTAATGAAATAGTAAAATGCAATGTTCATTATATTTTCTGTTGTTAGACGTCATCAAGAAGTTAAATAATATGTATTTTGTTGGTCGCATAAAAGATATAAACTCAACGCCTCCTTTTATTAAAAAATTGGGTAATAACATTGAAGGGAATGTTACATATATCAGAAATAATTGAAAACAGAAAAATGATTTATTTTGTATCGAGGCAAATCAACCAGGATCCTCTAGAAAACCTTTTTCGCTAAATAAGACAAATGAGGGGAGGAATATTAATCCAACCTGCCAGGGATTTGGAGACTCATTTAAATCCCTGCTAGTGAGGAAAATTATATATCGTCGGTTGGCAGACGTGGAAGAGAATGAAAGTAGAACACTACTAAAGCCAACCGTATTTTTAAGTAAATGCAGCGTTGAAGATATTTTTGAGGAAGAAGAATGTCAACTACCTTCCGTACATGGGAAAATTAATAACGCTATACAAGCAAATATATTTACTTAAGTTGTCGGGTATGTGGCACGGAAAAGTGTACAAAAATTTCATTGCGGGTTTTGTCGGAGCCACATTATTGATAAGACTCCAGATAGGAGTAGGGCTGACAATCAATTTATTGTACATAAAGAATTTCAAAACGCAAAGTTGACGTTTTGCAAATCAACTTTTTTAGATTCACTAAAAAAATGTTACAATATAATTTGCTTTGTGTTGGAGGCTGACTTTAAAAGATGTCATATTTTAAAATATATTGAAGCTATTATAAAAAATAGTGTAACATTTACGTTTATTTGTGAACATAAGGATCACATAATAGAATATATTCTTAATGTTTTCATAAAAACTATATTATTAAACAACAGTAAACTGCAACAATAGTTTGTATGTACAAGCTCAAAAAATTTGTTTAAAACGAAAAAGGTTTATTGTTAATAAAAAATAGTATAGTATATATATATTTTTTGTAATGTTTTTATTAGTTTTGTTTTTTACATTTCAAATTTTCTTTTCTATTTTGTTACCCAAATGTAAACCCCCTGTATACATATTTTTCTATATTAACTATATTAAACGCTATTAAACATTTTCTTAAAAAAATGTTTATTTTATTTGTTCGGCCCTCCAATCTATTTAGTAATTTGTATTGGCCCGGGATTATATCTGGTCTGGACAGACCTGAATTAGACTATGTTTAAATAACACAAGGGAACAAAATTAAACTTTTTTTTGTTGCATCGACTTTTATGCCTGTTTTTTACTAATCGGAGGTCGCTGATTTCAAATCTACCCACCTTTTTTCTTTATCAGCTCTAGTTTTTGCGATACAGCTAGTCACGTTTAAATTTCAAATCAACAGAGCAGTTGTTTAAAACAATGTTTTGTTTAATAATGTCCGCGTCGAGAAATATCTGTCAAAACAATGCCGACAATTTTTGTAACATCTGTGGTGAATATACATTCAAAAATTGTAGACTAAGTATGTCGGCGTTCATAAAACAGGTGTATTTTGATTATTTTGGATTCCCGTTGGACACCCGTGACAAGTACTGGATCCCTCATATGGTATGTAAAATATGTGTGGAGTCTTTGAGGTTATGGGCGAATAAGAAAAGACCTCATTTTAAGTATCAAACACCAATGATGTGGCGAGAGCCTTCAAATCATCAAGATGATTGTTATTTTTGTGTGGTTAATATAAACGGAATTAATAGAAGAAACCGGTCGAAATGGTTTTACCCTAACTTGTTATCTGTTACTCGACCAGTCCTGTACTCCGGAGATGCGCCAGTACCCCAAGTTTCTTCACCTACACAAAATGATCACGACTTTGAGGAAACAAGGTCTTCTTTAAGTGATGAAAGTGGGACAAGTGATTTTAACCCAATTTCTTCTGAGCCTCAGCCCTTTAATCAGGAAGACCTCAGTGCATTAGTCAGAGACCTTGGTCTTTCTAAAAAAGCATCGGAGATTCTAGCTTCTCGATTAAAGCAAAGAAATCTTGTAACCCCGGAAACAAGAATTTCATACTATCGTAACCGAGAGACAGAATTGCTTTCATTCTTTGCTAAAGATGACGACTTTGCTTTTTGTTCAGATGTTCCTGGTTTATTGAAAGCAATGGGAGTACAGAAGTATGATCCAAATGAATGGCGTTTATTTATTGATTCTTCTAAACGTTGCCTAATATGTATACTTATGCATAACGGCAATAAACTGGGTTCGATACCGATTGCACATTCAAGTACAGTCGAAGAAGAATATGCTACTGTAGCTTCTGTTATGGATAAAATCAAATAATTGAACCCCTTGTGTCCAGGGATCGTATAATACTACCACCTTTACATATCAAACTAGGGCTTATGAAACAATTTGTCAAAGCTCTAAACAAGGATGATGAGTGTTTTAAATACATCGCTAAAAAGTTCCATAACTTGAGCACAGAGAAACTTAAAGCCGGAATTTTTGATGGTTCTCAAATAAGAAGGTTGATAAAGGATGAAAACTTTAATAGTTACATGACTGATATTGAAAAAAATGCCTGGAATGAATTCGTTTGGACTGCACAAAATTTTCTGGGAAACAAAAAGGACGAAAGCTATACGGAGCATATTGAGCTGATGTTGTTACACTTCCAGCAGCTTGTATGTAATATGAGCATCAAAGTACACTTCCTCCACAGTCATTTGGACCGTTTCCCTGAAAATCTTGGTGATCTGAGTGAAGAACAAGGGGAACGGTTCCATCAAGACATTCGAACTATGGAGGAACGTTACCAGGGTCACTGGAATGCTCAAATGATGGCAGACTATTGTTAGAGCATTAAAAACAGCCCTCGTGAACCAAGTCAAGCAAGAAAATCTTATAAAAGAAAGAAGAGCGGACCCGTGGGGAAAAGAACCCCTGAAAATGTTCCAACCCTTTTAGCACCCCGCACTCGGGGGTGGTAACATATAAAAGAAGAGCCCTAAGTGTTACAATTTCTACAACACTTGTTTGCACTTCCATCACAACGTACACTTATGTCACTATTGGATAAAATTCCATTCAACGTTGGAATTAACGACCACATTTTTGCACATTTGGGTGCTTGCTTGGCAAAATTACCAGAAAATGAAAGGCTTTGTATTTATGGCTCATGGGATAATTAAACCATGGAAACAACTACTGACCTTTTATTTCAGTCAAGGGGCGTTGATTCGACCAAACCAAAAGTTTTATTGAAAGAAGTGATATTTAATATGTTTAAACATAAAATCTCCATTATGGCTACAATATGCGACCTTGGGGCCGCAAATGTAAGAACTCTTAAAGACCTAGGATCAACAATTTCGACTCCATTTTTTATTTATGAAGGGAGAACTATTCGCAATATCTTTGATGTGCCCCATTTATTAAACACACGAAATTTATTCAAAAAGTACAA